GAGAGAGAGAGAGAGAGAGAGAGAGAGAGAGAAAGAAAGAGAAGAGAGAGAGAATAGAGATAGAGAAGAGAGAGAGAATAGAAATAGAGAAGAGAGAGAAGAGTGAAAAGAGAGAGAAGAGAGAGGAGAGAGAAGAGAGAAGACAGAGGAGAGAGAAGAGAGGAGAGAGAGAGACAGAGAGAGAGATATAGAGAGAGAGAGAGACAGAGAGAGAGATATAGAGAGAGAGAGAGAAGAGAGAGAAGAGTGACAAGAGAGAGAAGAGAGAGAAGAGTGAAAAGAGGGAGGAGAGAGAGAGAGAAAGAAAGAGAAGGGGAGAGAGAGAGAGAGATAGAGAGCAAGAGAGAGAGAGAGATAAATAGATAGAGAGAGAGAGAGATAGAGAGAGAGGGAGAGAACAAAGAGAGGGAGAGAACAAAGAGAGGGAGAGAACAGAGAGGGGGAGAGGGAGAGAACAGAGAGGGGGAGAGGGAGAGAACAAAGAGAGGGAGAGAACAAAGAGAGAGAGAGAATAGAAAGAGAGAAGAGAGAGAAGAGAGAAGACAGAGGAGAGAGGAGAGAGAAAAAAGAGAGAGAGAGGAAAGAGAGAGAGAGAATAGAAAGAGAGAAGAGAGAGGAGCGAGAGGAGAGAGAGGGAGGGAACAGAGAGAAGGAGAGAACAGAGAGTGGGAGAGAACAGAGAGGGGGAGAGGGAGAGAACAGAGAGAGAGAGATAAATAGATAGAGAGAGAGAGAGATAGAGAGCAAGAGAGAGAGAGAGAGCGAGAGAGAGAGAGAGCGAACAGAGAGAGAGAAAGAGCAGAGAGAGGAGAGAGAAAAAAGAGAGAGAGAAAGAAAGAAGAAAAGGATAGAGAATAGGAAGCTAAAAAAGAGAAAGAAAGAAAGAAAAGGAAAATAAAAAAAGAGAGAAGGAAAGAGAAAGAGAAAGAGAGAAAGAGCAGAGAGAGGAGAGAGGAGAGAGAGGGAGGGAACAGAGAGAAGGAGAGAACAGAGAGAAGGAGAGAGAAAGAGAGAAGAGAGAGGAGCGAGAGGAGAGAGAGGAGAGGGGGGAGAGAGAGGAAGGGGGGAGAGGAGGGGGGGGGGGAGGGGGGGGGGAAGGGAGGGAGAGGGAGGGGGGGGAGAGAGGGGGGGAGGGGGGGGGGGGAGAAAGGGGGGAGGGAGAGGGGGGAAGGGGGGAAGGAAGGGGGAGGAAGGGGGGGGGAGGAAGGGAGAGAAAGGGGGGGAGGAAGGGAGAGAAAGGGGGGGGGGAGAGAGGGGGGGAGGGGGAGAGAGAGAGAGAGACAGAGAGAGAGATATAGAGAGAGAGAGAGATAACAGAGAGAGAGAGAAAGAGAGGAAGAGAGAAGGAAAGAGAAAGAGAGAACAGAGAAAGAGAGAACAGAGAAAGAGAGAACGGAGAGAGAGAAAGAGCAGAGAGAGGAGAGAGGAGAGAGAAAAAAGAGAGAGAGGAAAAGAAAGAGAGAGAGAAAGAAAGAAAGAGAGAAAGAAAGAAGAAAAGGATAGAGAATAGGAAGCTAAAAAAGAGAAAGAAAGAGAAGGGGAGAGAGAGAGAGAACAGAGAGAAGGAGAGAACAGAGAGTGGGAGAGAACAGAGAGAGAGAAAGAGCAGAGAGAGGAGAGAGGAGAGAGAAAAAAGAGAGAGAGAGAGAGAAAGAGAGGAGGGGGGGAGGGGGGGGGGAAGGGGGGGGGGAAAGGGGGGAAGGAAGGGAGAGGAGGGGGGGGGGGAGGGGGGGGGGGGAGAAAGGGGGGAGGGGAGGGGGGAGGGGAAGGGGGGAAGGAAGGGAGAGGAAGGGGGGGAGAGAAGGGGGGGAAGGAAGGGGGGGAGAGAAGGGGGGGAAGGAAGGGAGAGGAAGGGGGGAGAGGAGGGGGGGGGGGAGGGGGGGGGGGGAGAAAGGGGGGAGGGAGAGAGAGGAAGGGGGGAAGGAAGGGGGGGAGGAAGGGGGAGAAAGGGGGGAAGGGAGGGAGAGGGAGGGGGGGGAGAGAGGGGGGGAGGGGGAGAGAGAGAGAGAAAGAGTGAGTGAAAGTGAGAGTGAGAGGGAGAGAGAGGGAGGGAACAGAGAGAAGGAGAGAGAAAGAGAAAGAGAGAGAGAAAAAAAAGAGAGAAGGAGAGAGAAAGAGAGGAAGAGAGAAGGAAAGAAAAGACACAGAAAAGAAGGAAGAGACAGAAAGAAAGAAAAAAAAAAAAAAAAAAGACCCAAAGAAAGAAAAAAAAAAAAAAAAGAGAAAAAAGAGAGAGAGGAAAAGAAAGAGAGAGAGAAAGAGCAGAGAGAGGAGAGAGAAAAAAGAGAGAGAGAGAGAGAAGAGAGAGGAGCGAGAAGAGAGAAGACAGAGGAGAGAGAAGAGAGAAGACAGAGGAGAGGGAGTAGGAGAGAGAAGAGAGGAGAGAGGAGAGAGAAGAGAGGAGAGAGACAGAGAAAGCAGAGAGAGAGAGAGATAAATAGATAGAGAGAGAGAGAGACAGAGAGAGAGATATAGAGAGAGAGAGAGATAAAGAGAGAGAGAGAAAAGAGAGAGAGAGAATAGAAATAGAGAAGAGAGAGAAGAGTGAAAAGAGAGAGAAGAGAGAGAAGAGAGAAGACAGAGGAGAGAGGAGAGAGAAGAGAAGAGAAAAGAAGAGAAAAGAAGAGAAGAGAGAGAGAGAAAGAGAAGAGAGAGAGAGAAAAGAGAGAGAGAGGAAAAGAAAGAGAGAGAGAAAGAAAGAGAAGAGAGAGAGAGAACAAAGAGAGAGAGAGAAAAGAGAGAGAAGAGAGAGAAGAGAGAAGACAGAGAGAGAAAAAGAGAGAACAGAGAGAGAGAGAGAGCGAACAGAGAGAGAGAGAGACAGACAGAGAAAAAGAAATAAAGAAAGCGAAAGAGAGAGAGAGAACAGAGAAAGAGAGAACGGAGAGAGAGAAAGAGCAGAGAGAGGAGAGAGAGAGGAAAAGAAAGAGAGAGAGAGAGAGTGAGTGAGAGTGAGAGAAAGAGAGGAGGGGGGGAGGGGGAGAGAGAGAGAGAATAGAAAGAGAGAAGAGAGAGAAGAGAGAGAGAAAGAAAGAAGAAAAGGATAGAGAATAGGAAGCTAAAAAAGAGAAAGAAAGAAAAAAAAGAGAGAAGGAGAGAGAAAGAGAAGAGAGAGAGAGAGAGCGAACAGAGAGAGAGAGAAAGAAAGAGAAGGGGAGAGAGAGAGAGAACAAAGAGAGGGAGAGAACAAAGAGAGGGAGAGAACAGAGAGAAGGAGAGAGAAAGAGAGGAAGAGAGAAGGAAAGAGAAAGAGACAGAAAGAAAGAGAAAGACAGAAAAGAGCTCAGAAGGCACCTATTCCACCTACTATAAAAAAGACAAAACTCCACACAACCCCAGACGTACGCGTATGAGATTCCGCCAATGATCATCGTAATCTTCGGGCCAAGGAAACTGAGGCACGAAGGAGACAGCCAGTTGAAGGTGGCGAACACGGCGTAAATAACAGCAAGGGATATGTAGCCGGAGCCTTTGAAGTTGGGGTCCT